TACCACGTGTGGTTGAATTACTCCCCGCCCTCCTCCCCCAAACCCCAACCTGACTGCTTTCCCCACTGATGAGGTGCAGTCTGAGGCAGGCAATTTGCAATTGTAAATAATTTACACTTGACAAAAATAACCAGGGTCTCAGCAGAAAATAAACGATCTTGGAGTTTTCAGCCTCTATCTTTGGCTGCAGGGAATATGTTTTATGTATTCTCCTTAGTAGTCATTTAAAAATGTCAGCATTTAAAATCCTTTTGATTGAAGCTTCAATCCTTTCCACTCTAATCCACGAGGAAGATCGTTGCTTTAATTATACTCAACATCTAGCATAATGCCAGCTGAAGTAGGGGTTTTGTTGTATTGAACACAACAGCAACAAGAGCCCTGTATATGCAGAGATATATATATATATATACATATATATGCAGAGATATACACATATATATATTTTTTCCCAAAATGAAAGAATTTGTAAGCTAAAACTGTAGCTCCTTGTTACACCAAAGTAAATTTTGGTGTCATGGTTTCTAGAAGTGAATACAATCTCCCTATGTGGTGTAATTACATCTTAGCTTTCAGCAGAAGAATAGTTTATGGCTAAAATGCTATTAATTGCAAGCCGTTTTGTTCCACAGGAAGTTGTTCATTGATAACTACCCAATTAGGGTTATTTTGCAATTAGTCTATTCACAGTAAATTTATTGCAACAGGAGGAGTCTGTGGAGCAGCAAATTAAAGAGTTGTTGGGTCTGCATATGCAAGGACTCTCAAATGCCAATCTTATTATACAGTTTATAGCTCTCTGGAGAATTCTGCCATGTTGATTAATAGGTCTTGAGATGAGTCCCAGGTGAACTACCTTGCCAGCGAACACCCAATAAGCTAGATCCCTGCAACTTTCATTCATGGGCCTGCACCTGTACACATGGCTGTAGAGATGTGTAGCTTGGAATAATGTGGTACCTGTAGCTGCATAGGATAGGAAGGCCAGAATACCTTTCCCACATGCAAACACTTCCTTTTACATTCACAGATCTAGAAAGGTCTAATCCCCAGTGACAACAAACCAGCAGAACTGTCCCTACAACTAAATACTGCTGAGCCTTAAAACATGAACTAAATCTCTATAAGCAGCTAATTTAAAACCCAAATTCCCTTTGGCTTTAAGTAGAAATATATGTTCCAGCAAAACAAAGTACATATACGTACAACTGGCCTTTGTGTAGGGGAAACATCATGAGACAAAAAATAGGAGAGTCCTTTGATTCCAAGAGAGGGCACTTTATCATGCCCTACCATGCGATAGGAAGAAAAACTGATCACCAAACCTTTCCCACCAAACAGAAATCTGCAATACCAGGAAGTGCTTTTCCATTGATAAGTGAACATGTTCTCTTTCATGACTAAAGATCATTCTACTGGATTACCATTAGTGGTGTGTAAATTTTGAGTTGGTTTCCTCAATAGTGAGAATAGATTTGCCCTGAGCCATCCATATACCCCTTCACCCTTCACTTGTTCTTCTGTTGTTGCTATTCAGTTTTGTTCATTGTGTCCAATTCTTCATGACCCCATTTTGGATTTTCTTGGCAAAGAAACTGGAGTGGTTTGCAATTTCCTTCTCCAGGTCATTTTTTTTTAAACAGATGAGGAACTGAGGCAAACAGGGTTAAGTGACTTGCCCAAGATCACACAGCTAGTAAATGTCTGAGATTTGAAATTAGGAAGAAGTCTTCTTGACTTCCTAATGTCAGGCTTAGCACTCTATCCACTGTGATATCTGGCTGCTTTGACTTGTTCTACCTATGACCAATGACAAAAGGGTCAACTGAGTCAAGGGGGTGCAACCTGTGGGCTTTGGGACAAAATGAACTATCCCATTTGGGGCTAAAGACCATGGTGTTTGCCTCACTAGCACAGTGCTCTCACTAATTCAGGTAAGCAACTTCAAGAGTTAATGATTCAGAAGTACCACATTAAAAGTGATGCTTCTTCTATAGCACTAAAGTCATTTGAAGCATGTCACTTCCAATTTAGGAATCAAGAAATAAGTGACTAAGTTTCACTAAACCTTAGTCTTTGTCTGCTCAGGAGAACACAAGGAAAATACTTGGTTAGATCAGAAATTCAGCTATCTAGAGGAAAACAGAAACAAACAAAATCCAGTTTTCTAGTTGGCTTATTTCCTGAAATCCAGTGGTCTGCCTGGCACTCTCTTTGTTGGGCATTTAGCCTGTCTACATTCATTGCATAATTTTTATCTCTGACTCTACTTACATACATATAGTCACCTCTATCCACATGTGAAGCTGCCTAGAATCTTTCCAGGGAGTTCATTAGTGTTTTCAGGGATTCTAGGTCCATGTTTCAAATGACTTATCAGCCTAGACTGGGGATACTTTGCTGTTAGCTTATTCCTTCACTTAGGAAGAACTGTAATATATGACCATGGAACTTTCCTACTCAATAAACTCCACTGGTTCCTTATTACCTCTAAGAGCAAACATAAACTCTTCTGTGTGGAATTTAAAGTCCTTTACAACATGGTCTCAAACTACTTTTCCTCTTGACAAACTCTACAATTCAGCTAAATTGGCCTTCTTATTGTTCCTTACATATATTATCCCATCTCCAGTCTCTGTATCTTTATATAGGCCATCCTTCCTCCTTGCCTGGAGTGCCTTCACTCCTCATCCCTGCCACTGAAAATACCTGATTTCCTTTAAATCTTAGCTCAACCACCACTATACATGTAGCCTTTTCTGATTCCCCTAATTTTTAGTGCCTCCCACATGATCACAAAATTATCTTTTATATATTTTGAATTTTTGTACATATGTATATGCTATATACTCTCACAGAATGTAAACTTTTTGGGGGGGGGATTCACAGAGGAGCTCAGATTTTAATCGAGAAGACAATAAGCAAGCAATAATGTACACATACAATATATTCATAGTAAAAGATTTCCAGATGTGATGCAACCTCTTTCTTATCTTAATAATGTTATTTTCCCAAAATTACATGTTAAAACAATTTTAACAGTTTTTTTATTTTAAGTTTCAAATTTTATCCCTCCCTCCCATCCCTCCCTTCCACTTCCATGTAAAACATTTCCACAATAGTCATTTTGTATGAGAAGAGGAGAAAGACAGACAGAGACAGAGAGAAAAGAAAGAAAACAAGAAAGAAAAAAGAAAGAAAGGAAAGAAAGAGAGAAAATTAACATGTTTCAGTCTGTATTCGGACAGTTCTGATAATATCAGTTCTTTCTCTGAAGGCAGACAACATGCTTCATCATGAGTCCTTTGGGACTTTCTTAGATCATTGTATTGCTTAGAATAGCTAAGTCATTCATACTTCTTTATCATGTAGCATTGTTGTTACTGGGTACAATGTTCTCCTCGTTTTGGTCACTTCATTTTGCATCAGTTCATTTATGTTTTTCTAGGTTATTTTGAAATCTGCCTTCTCATCATTTCTTTTTTTAAATTTTTTTTTAATTTTTAATTTTTATATTAATTTATTTTGATTTATCAATAATCACTTTCATATGCTTTTGAGTTTAAAATTTTTCTCCTCCTTCCTCCCCACCACCCTCCCCAAGCTGGTGCACAATCTGATATAGGCTATACATTTACATTCATATTAAGCATATTTTCACATTAGTGATGTTGTAAGTAAAAATTAAAACCAATAGGAGGAACCATCAGAAAGAGGAAATAAAACTCAACAGAAGAGAAAAAAAATAGCAATTCAACTTCCAAAGTTCTTTCTTTGGATGTGGATACCATTTTCTATCACAAGGCCTCTGGACATGTCTTAAATCCTTGTATTGACGGGAAGGGTTAAGTTTATCAATATTAGTCATCGCATAACGTGGCTATTATTGTGTACAACATTCTCTTGGTTCTGCTCACTTCACTCAGCATCAGACCATACAAGTCTTTCCAGGTTTTTCTGAAGTCAGCCTGTTCATCATTTCTTATAGCACAATAGTATTCCATCACATTTATATACCACAACTTGTCCAGCCATTCCCCAATTGATGGGCATCCTCTCAATTTCCAATTCTTTGCCACCACAAAAAGAGCTGCTATGAATATTTTTGTACATATGGATCCTTTTCCCATTTGTATGATCTCTTTGGGATATAGCCCTAGAAGTGCTATTGCTGGGTCAAAGCAGAATGTAAACTCTTTGAGGGCAGGGATTTTTCAAATTTGTTTTTGTATTCCCAACAACTAGTAGAGTGTCTGGCACATAGAAGTGTCTCAATAAAGGATTGTTAATTGATTGATTGATAATATTAACACTTTCATTCACCTTACATCAGTGGTGGTGGATTGGTCAATCAGCATCATTCCAGTTATTAAAACCATCCAATAATGCTGGTGGAAGGAGTAAGAGGCTGTGGTCTCACCTTATAGTAAGACTTTTTATGTGTCTTATTATGTTTCTATGGTCCCATAAATACAAAATTCCTACACATAGGCACTATAAATACTGTGTCAATAAGCACTGCTTCACACACCATAAGATTAAGATATAATGAGAAATTTGAGTCTGTGTTCTTAAAGAGTTTACAATATTAAATACTGTACTAATATGAAATTAAATATTAAAAATTCTGGTATTAAATATCCTGGTAATAGGAATGTCATATTATACTGACTGTTCTTTTTTTTTCCCTAAGTGCCTAGCTAGCACAGAAGTTGGCAGTCGGGAAATTCTTGTGTCATGAATGAATGAATGAGTCAACCTGAAATTGAAGCCTCAACATGTTTACAGGATTCTTACAGCTCAAATGCAAAATTCTGAGGTGTTATGTTAACTTATTTCGCAAACAATTTGAACCCAAAGCACTAAAGTGAGCATCATGAGCACTGGCTGCCCAACAGTAAAAAAAAAAAAAAAATGACATTAGGAATGAAAGAGGAAATCATTATGATTCAGAGAAAACATCTCCCTTTGGCCAAAACCTATACTACCCTATGACTTACCTTCAAGGGGACAGAAGCGGGTCACTTTCTCTGGCATTAGCTTCCCCACCTTGTGTTGGCAATATATCTCGGCAATTTCCTGGCGACATTGTTTGGATTTAGACCGGGACAGAGCTGAGATGGCCTCCTTGCCAGAGATGTCACACCTTGGCATCTGGTCATATTTGAGTTCAGGGGAGCTGGCCCCATTCTTCCTGGTATGGGGTTGCTTGGAGGACTTAGGGCTTGCCTTCGTGGTACTACTGTTCTGGGCAGCTTGATTGCTATACTGCAAGGCTTCATTAGAGCCTTTTCCCAGGAGTGAATTCTCCTTTACTTTTTCCTCCTGCTCTAGTTTCTTCTTCAAATGTTCCTTCTGCTTACTGAGTGACTTCCTTCCCAGGTCTGGCTGGTGCTTCTGCCTCTGAGTCCTTGGGGCAAAGTTACTGTTATCGATATTTTCAAAGTCTTTTGGCACGGAGTTTTCATTATTGCTATCTGTCCTCATTTTCTCCTTGGGACGGTGAGAAAAATATCCATCCTATAAAGAGTGGAAAACAAAATAGAAGTATTAACTGAAGTGCATGATTAACATGACAGGTTATATGGGATGGTAAAAAGAGCATAGGACTGAGTAGATGGAAGATAGAATTTTAGTTCAGACTTCGCTATTAACTACCTTTGTGACCTTGGTAGGGTTACTCAGACACTATGGACTTCAGATCCTCCAAATGTAAAAGGAAGGGGCAGCTAGGTAGTGCAGTGTATAAAACACCAGCCCTGAAGTCAGGAGGACCCAAGTTCAAATCCAGCCTCAAACCAAACACTTGACACTTACTAGCTGTGTGACCCTGGGCAAGTCACTTAACCCCAATTGCCTTAAAAAAAAAGTACCAAATGTAACTTCATTCATTCATTCATTACCACACCACAGCATTCCTTGCCATCTTGGCACATTAAATGTTTAGACTAGTAATAAAAAAGGGTTTGGAGGTAAAAGGGACTTCAGACCAACAACCCAAGCCTTGGGATTAAAGTCAATGAACATTTATTAAGCACTTCCTAGGTGCCAGGCAAGGTGCTAAGCACTAGTAAGTAGAATCACCATCCCTGTGTGTAAGCAGTTTCCATTCTAATGGGGGAAGATAACACATAAAAAGAAGCAGAAAAGGAGAAGGGGCAAAGAAATGGGCAGGATAGAAGGCAAAGGAGGTCCATAGTGTAGCCTGGAGAGATTCTTCTGCCTCTTCTTTCCTTCCTCCACTCTTCATTCTTTGCTTCCCTGGGACTCATGGCAGAGGAGGCAACTTTTTCATTCTGAGGGATAGAGTTGCAATTGAGATCTTTTTGATGCCAAGTTGGGAAGTGCTGGCAGTAACTAAATCTGAAGCTTAGCAATACAGGAAGGGGTTTCATGGTATACCCTCTGAAAATCATTAGACTAGATAGTCTACAAGGACCCTCTGAGATACATGTTTATCTCAATTAGACCATTTTGAACAGAAGGGCTACAACCTATCATTCAAACCACAGGTTCAAGTTGCATCATAAAATACTAACTGTTGATCTGAGTCAGCAGAAATGTGATTCCAAAAAGTAATTGCATATTATACATAACATATATGCATGTATTATGTATCATTACTTTTATGAAACATATACACATATACCATCTATCAAAAAACAGGCTTTACCATTGGTAGGGAAACTTGGAGCAATGAAAAGAATGTTGGATGTGAAGTAAGAGGTCTTCAGTTTGAAATATACTTGCTACCTGCATGATCTTAGATGAGTCCCAGAGGAGCCTTGCCCTAGAGAAAATAACATAGATTCTCTAAACTTCACTTTCTTCATCTGAAAAACGAGGCAGTTGGATCACTGACAAGGGAGAGAGGCAATGACAAAAGATGAAATAAAGAACATCAATTATATGAAACTAAAAAGCTTTTACACTGGCAAAATCAACACTATCAGAATAAGAAAGTCAATTAGGAAATAATCTTCTCATCAAATATCTTGGATAAGGGTCTTATATTCAAGATATGTAGGGAACTAACACCAATGCATGTGACCAAAAGCATTTCCCAATGGATAATAGAGCAAAGCATAAGAATAAACAGTTCTCAAAAGAATTGTAAAATATTACACTATACAAAAGATCATGCCAAATTACTAGAAAAAGAAAAATTCAAATCAAAACAACTTTCATGCCCTACAAATTGGCAAAGAGGATGAAAGAAGGGAATAATCAATTTTGGAGGGGTGGTATTAAGACACCAATACACTGGTGTAAAGATGGCACTATGAATTGACCCAAATATTGTTGTTATTCATTTGTTTCAGTTGTGTCCAATTCTTCATGACTCCATTTGGGTTTTCCTGGCAGAGATACCTTCAATGCTTTGCCATTTCCTTCTCCAGCTCATTTTACACATGAACAAACTGAGGCAAGGTTAACTAACTTGTCTAGGGTCACACAACTAGTAAGTGTATGAGGCTAGATTTGAATTCAGGTCTGCCTGACTCCAGGTCCAGCACTCTATCTACCATACCAAAAGCAATTTGAAATTATGGTGAGGTGAAATAAAATGTTCTTTGATCCAGAGATACCACAAGTAGACATATACCCCCAAAAGATAAAAACAAAAAGAAAATATAAAGAAAAGTGTTTCAAACTACAACAAATTTATAGCAAGGAAAGGGAATAAGCATTTATATAGTACTTACTATGTGCCAGACACTATGCTATGCTCACAACACCTCTTCCAAATAGGTGTTATTATTTTCCTCATTTTACAGTTGAAAGTCAAACAGAGATTAAGTGACTTGTCCAAGGTCACACAGCAGGTAAGTGTCTGAGGTTGGATTTGAACTCAGGTCTTCCTGACCCAAGCACTTCATGTGTGTGGGTATGTGCGTGTGCATGTGTGTGTAGGGGGTGGGAGGTTCTACCAGTTGTATCTGCTATATTTATAAAAGAAATCTTTTTAGTAGCAAAATGATTGGGAACAGCTAAACAAATTATGGTCCACAAATTTAATGGCATATTTTACTGCTCTATAAAAAACCATTTATATGAAAAATACAGAGAAGTCTGGGAAGATATATGAACATAAAAAAGAACCAGAAACATAATAGGCATAATGACTAGAAAGAACAGCAAAAATCAAAACTTAACAATATGTAATTATAATGACCAGTTTTGGCCTTGAAGAAAAAATATGAAAATTACACACACCCTTCTTTTCTTTTTGAAGAGATGGAGCATGAGTGGGAAGAATTCTGTTTTATCAGACTTGATTAGTATATTGGTTGATTTTGCTAAGCTACTTTTTTCCCCTTCTTTCTTTTTTATTCTTTAAGGAATGGCTCTCGGGGTGGGGAAGGGGTAAGGGATACACTGAGAATGCAATGCAAAAAGACATTCACAATTTTTTTTTAATTTTTAATGAAAGGATTAGTTGGACTAGATAGCCTCTAAGTTACCTACCAGCTAAGAGGAAGATATTCAATATGATTGCTTCAAATGCATTCAATCCACATGTTTTCCTTCTTCCTTTCATTACATTCCCATTTCTCAATCATGTAAGTCAAATCTATTCCTTCCTCCTCTTCCCTGTCCCCAGAAAATAATGTGAGTTGGTGAGAAAAATCCAAGGACCAAGGATAGGGCAGTCTACTATGTATTGCATTGCCGGGCTTGATGAAGTAGTTGGCAGGGTAGAAGCAGCTTCTGTGCCTGGGCATCATTTACACTGCCAATGCTGGGGGTTAGTACTGCTTCCAGAGCAGTGACTAAGTCCTGGGGGTGGTCATGGTCAGGGATCCAGGGATCCATACTTACCCATTCTTGATGCCAGGATATGAAAAGAACAGCCATAAAGAGCTATGACAGGCAGTGTGGTATAATAGAGCCCTGCTGAGGAGCCCATAAGCCCTGAGTTCAAATCTCATCTGTGACACATTGCTGGGATAACTCTGGGCAAATTAAACTTTCAATGCTTCTAAGCAACTCACTAAGACTAAGAAAGAACCCTGGCCTAGTGTGAACAGAAAGAACCACACATGATTTTCTCATAATACTCAGTTATGACTCCATTTGATTTTGTGGAAGGCTGAGGAGTATCATAGACCTAGCCTTAGTGGCCTCCTGAGGTTACAATAACAGATGCAGGAAGTTGCATGGGGTACTAGATAGGGCAATAGAGTTCAGTACAAATTCCATCTGGAGACTAACTGTTCAGCCCTGGTCTAGTTTTCTACCTCAGATGCCTCATCTGTAAAACAAGGAGCTATAAACAAATTCAGTGTCCTTTCCAATTCTATCCAGCTTCAAACCTTTAATTTTAGAAATAAAACTGCAACAATCACATGGAAAAGTAATAGGAGGCTGGTGAACCCAGAGTTAAGTGATTTCATGCAAAATGGGAACTGAGCCCATTTTCATTCTAATCAAATGCACAGTTCAGCAATAATGTCCTGATTTCCTCTTGAATATATTGTTACCTCATAGAACCTATTGCTGGGGTCATAACCCGAACATATACCTGTAGGATGAAAGGATGATACCTAGGAGAATTTTGATTACAGAAAAAATAAAAATTGCCTACATAATTTTGCCCCTGTTCCTACAGAAACTCATTTGAGCATAGCAATAATTACCAGAGAAGATGTCTAGGTTTTATTTTCTGACGGGTGTGTGTGTGTGTGTGTGCCACGCGCACACACACACACACACACACACACACACACACACACACACACCCCTCCCTCATTTTATAATGGACAATGGGTCAATCTTAGTTTCAGGAAGATTTAAGTTTAATTTCTACATTAGGTGCATGCTAGCTGTACGTGTCCATGTCCATGATTGTCCATGCTAACATGGGCAAATTACTATTTAACCTGTTAGCACCCAAGAAAAATCTTTAAGACTGTCACAAACAGGAAGTTCTCTATAAAAATGTAATCATAGGTCCATACTTCCTCCTCATACCCACAAACAAAATAAAACAAAGCAAAAACTTTTGACAGGACCCTGAGTCTATTCCTTCCTCCTCTTCTCCTGTCCCCAGAAAACAATGTAGGTTGGCCAGAAAAATCTAAGGACCAAGGACAGGGCAGTCTACTGTGTACTGCATTGTCAGGCTTGATGGCAGTAGCTGGTGAGGTAAAAGGAGCTTCTGTGCCTTGACACCACTTATACTGCCAATCCTGAGGAATGGCACTACTTACAAATCATTGACTAAGTCACTGAGCATGGTCAGAGTTAGGGATCCAGGGATCCAAACCTATCCATTCTTGAAGTAAGGATATAAAAAGACCTGTCTTAATAAAGAGCTACAACAGGAAGTGTGGTATAACAAAGCTTGCCTTGGAGCCCCAAAACCCTGGGTTTGAGTCCTATCTCTAACACATACTGACAGGATAACCCTAGGCAAATCACTTAAACTTTCAGTGCTTGAGGCAACTCACTAACATTAAGCTTCAGATAAAGGGAGACTGGTAAGGAATTTCTTCTCCTGGGCTTTCCTTATACCA